CTCGTAGAGCCTTATCATCCTAACAGTTCATTTTAACTTCACAGAACAAGCTCCTGAGGTGTTTATAAATTTCCTTCATTTTCAGTCCATATATAAATGGATTAAAAAGAGGATTGTACAAAACTGATTGTAAAGTTATTACTAAATGTGCAATTGTTGGGAAATCTGATCCCAAGCGAACTGTAATAACATCATACGTTACCAAAAAAAAAAAAAAGCTGATTAACACCAGCAGGTGAGGAACATAGGTCTGTAGTGATGGCTGATGAGGCCTTGTTGAAGCTTCAAGAGTGTTCACACAAATGGTTCATTACTCGAGGCCTCAATGACACAGTGCTCGAGTAGGACATCTAGTGGTCAAGAAATTGAAGTGCAGTCAAGACGTGTCGCTTCATGGTTCATGGATTGGGATTTGATTCGCCATGCAGATTCCTGTTCGACTACACTACATGGTTGTATGGTTTCAAGCTGACACAATAAAATATAAAATAAACATGGATACATGTTGAAGACCATGTTTCTTATGTGGCACGTTTGACTGTAACCCTATATACTCCTCACTTACTGTATATTTTGTGTTAAGAAGACTGAATATATTATTATTATCCCTGATCCAGCCACGGTTGTATCCAGTTTAGGTGCTTCAGCCCCCTCGCTCACAGATAAAACCTTGGAGTGATATTTGATAGCGGCTTTAATTTTGATAAGCAGATCAGGGTTAAAACCAGCATTTTTCACCTGAGACTTTTAACGAAGGTGAAGCCTTTCTTATGGCGTGCAAACTTAGAAAAAGCCATTCACGCTTTTATCACTTCACGACTAGACTACTGTAATGCCCTCTACGTTGGAATTTCTCAGTCTTTGCTTCGGAAGCTTCAAGTGGTCCAAAACGCTGTGGCTCGGTACGCCCACATCACCCCTGTTCTTCTCTCCCTACACTGGTTGCCAGTACAGTGGAGAGTTGAGTTTCAATGTTGCTATTTGTCTTTAAGGCTATATATGGCCTCACTCCGCTGTACCTGTCGGAGCTGCTATCTATCTATGCTCCACACAGAGCTGTGTGCTCCTCAGAGCACTTGTCCTTGGTTTTCCCATGGTCTCGATATAAAATATGGGGGGACCGCTCTTTTGCTGTGTATGGCCCCAGACTCTGGAATTCTTTACCGCTAGAGCTTTGGTCCATAACCAAGCTAGTGGTTTTTAAGTCAACTTTAAAAACTCACCTTTTTAAACAGGCCTTTGGTGTTTAATCCGTTTTATTTGCCCCGAAGGGAT